AACAAGTCACTGCCTGTCTCTCGCTCTCACTAATATAAACAACTCCGCACGATTGGTGTTGCTGAGCGTGAAAGTTCGTTATAAACGGAAAGTGAATATACGACTAACCTAAAAAGTGATTGTTATATCCGGATGTTCTTTATAAACGGGTTCGTTATAACCAGTAAAAAATACGTTGGTCTTTATGGACGACGTTTCAATTAAAGGAAAAAAGTTCGTTTTAACGGAAAGTTCACTATAACCGGGTTCATTATAAGCGGACTTTACTGTAATAAAAAATGTTTAAGTTTTCCATTATTTTTATTTTGCCCAACTCTCCTAGGTTTAAGTGTGGTTCCATCCATTTCCACTTCTAAATCACTGTCACTTTAAGATTCACAAATTTTTCGCGATTTCCCGGAAGTTTTTCATAGAACTTTTATCGGTTTTTTGACCGATAAATTATTTTGCGGCAGTTTTGACAACGTGAGGGTAGCAAATATTGCGATACTTCAAAAAATTAATGAAAAATTCAAATTCTAATTAATTCAATTGCACTCGCATATTATATATAATGAAAAGTGATCGGAATATAATAGCTTACTTCTCGCCCTAGATGTATAACATACTGATCTAATTTGATTATCAAAAAGCGTAAATACGGCCCTGATTTAGAATAATTTATATTATTCTTCTCTCCTAAATTTGATTTTAAATAACACGTTGACATAGACATTGCTTTGTATGATCTGGCGTGTGAGATTCTATAAAAATTTTTTTCGTACTTTCAACGCATTATTGCGTAAACTAAAATAAACATAAAGCTAGTGTTCAAATCAGAGTGTTTAAAAACTTCAGTGGATAAAACGAACGTTGTGAGTGCTGGGAAAAAGTGCTAGTGAAGGATTTTTACTTTGATCTCAAACCTGCACATTTCCAGGTGAGTGTCTAGTAACAATACATGTATTTTAAGAGAATAGCTGATGTTTTTCCAGTTTAATATTTTTAAAACATAATTTAAATACGAATGTTCCTAATTAAGTTTCGTAACGGAAAATTGTAGATTCATTCCCTCCCCCTCTGCTTGCTTTCGCGTGTAAGATACAGGGTGTCCAAATTTTAATTTGTTTTTATTTTGGTTTGTATGTTAAGAACCTGTTGAACGATAGGAATCAACTCTTGAATGTACACACATTACCAGGTTTAATAACTACTTTTTTGCACCTTACTCGAACTGATTGGACGTGCCAGTGGTGGATATTTTCGGATATTGTATGGGTTTCCACCTCTTATACGCCACTGGCAAAATTAAATTAAAAGCAAAAGAGACCTCTTGGTTTAATGCCCTAAAGTTAATTGTTTTTGAGAAAAATTACTTTTCAGCAACAAAAGCAAACATTTTCCATGCGATTTCGACCACGGGACGCTCAATGAACTCAAAGAGTGTCAAAAAGTAACTACTAGTTTTAGTTCAAATTCGCAAAAAAAATAAAAAAAGATTAAATTTGTATGCAGATTTTATTTGGAGCTTGAACTTTTTAAATACCTGGTTGGGTAATGTTAATTAAACATCGCGATTTTAAAGATAAATGCAACTGCGAATATTTCTGTGTTTAAAACACAACCACGAGTCAGAAAGTGTTACAAAATCACGATTTGCTTGCAGCAAAATACTTATTATGCATGGGATGAATTAAAAGATGGACTTAAAGGACCACCACTTATCAGTTTGAGTTACATTGTATAATTAAAGCAAATATCCCAAAATAAAGAAAACGGTATTAAAAATGATACATTTAAAATACGTCTAGGGCCAGGACAGATAGCCTATATTCACCCATGTAACAGATTATGTCACATTAAAAAAATTTCAATAGAATCAAGTAGAAAGTAAAATCAGATCAGGAATGTAATAAGATACAAAATATAATAAATACATGAAATACTGAACCTTAAAATTTCTCACAGGGTACTATTAAATCGTTTTGCTCGCTCCACATTTCTGATCTCTCGTTCGATTTCGAATCGTCGCAGATCTGCCCTTTCTAGGAAGTCTTGTCTTTCTAAGTATCTGAAATTTAAAAAGTACATATGTAAAATCAAATTGATAACAGATAAAATGTCATCAACTTACCCGTCTTTGCCCTTGTTATGTGTTTGCAGCTCCTCATCAATATTTTGTTCTTTCTTGAACCTGTCCCAGTCCAATTTGGTTTTTTCTAAGGTGCTAATTTTCTGCTTTTTTGCTAACTGACTCAACACATTGCCAATACCACTAAGACCCGCCCCCCTTTTGGGGGCTGTTGACTGGCTAGTCTCTTTAGCTAAAAGTCTGGCTTCAGCTGAATTCACATTAACCTGAAGAAACGGAAATTATTTTGATTTTTCCAGCTATGTAAAAAAGCTCTGACAAACCTCTTTTTCAACTTTCACTTCTTCGCCAGCAAACTCGAATATTTGAGTAACTTTTACTTTAGCTGGCGGTTTCTGAGATGTGTCCTGATTCTTCTCAGCAGAACCGGCTTTACTTGAAGTCGACGATTTCGAAGAATTATCAGATATAGTGGTCTTGTTACCACTGCCTTTGGACTTAAATCCGGTGTCTTTCATAAAATCCGCCCATAGATCATCAGCTTTTTTCTTCTGTTCTTCTGGGTTATTGGTAGGTTCGGCTGTTGATTTTTCAGGAGATGGACCTTAAAACAACAAAATACGATCTAACAAGTGTACTTTAAGGCAAAATGAAAAAGAACGCGAAACTCGGACATATATAACGTACATGAGCACCGCAACAGGTCTTAATTGAGCCTTAAAGATCTTCATCAACTTACTAGGTGCCTTTCTAGGAAGTTTGGCTTTTTTCTTGGGCTTTTTCGTCCGTTTCTTGTTCTTATTAGTTTCGCTGTCTGAGCCTGACAATTGCTCTTCTGGATCACCATCTGATTCGACTTCAGAGACTGCATCCTCAATTTTACTATCAGGAACATAATCTTCATCGCTAGAATCGCTTGAGTCTGGACATCTATCACAATTATCCATCTTTTCTGATACTTAGTCCACGGAAATGACAGTAGTCAAGGTAATTTATTGTAGTCACTACCGAACTTTATACCCGTGGAAAATCTAAATCGGGCTTGCTGTTGAACTTAATTGATATTCACAGAGAGATTAGCGTTTAACAATTATCTGGAATAGACATAAACGTTTCACAGCAAACATCAATAAGTGAATTGGAGGTTCTTGTCAAAGTTGTGATTAAAAACTTCTCATCTCGTCTCTGTCAAATAGAGCGCACTTCGAGAGGTTAGTGTTACCAACACAAGTTTAATTGAGACATGTTGTCCGGAAAAATGGCTAAAATTAAATGTTTAATTGCATCAGTTAAGTCGAAGTAATTAAAAAAAACAAGTCCAAAGTGCCGAAATTAAATTATCCATCAGGCAGCAGCAGAAATTGAAATTGTTTAATGACAGTGAACAGTGACATATTGGGGATTAATAATGTTGGCAGTAGGAAACCGTGACATTTAAATGTAAATAAAATAGAAACTTCAAATCAAAGTTAAAGTTTGTCATAAATATGTGTTTAGTGTTGTTTTCGTTAAAGTTTTCGCCGTTTAAAACCGTGTACGTATAATCGGTCATTGGCATATATTGAGAGAAATGCAAAGTAAGTTTTGCCATCCATTCCAAGTTTGAGCGAACTGGTGTTATCTGTGAATCATTCAACAGGGACGTCTCTTAAAGCCAACGAAATGGGGAAATTAAAAAGCAGTTCATATAAAATCACATAATCTGCCATCTCCGACGTTTTATTAGCATGGACTCTTTGGGCACGGTGCTGTCGTTACAGCAGCCCGATGCCCTCAACACGTTTTCTAAGATGTGGTATCATGTCTTCCTCTGGGCCCTGTTTTCATCCATACTGGTTCACACTGTAAGTTCCCAGTAATTTACTCACTAGTTTAATCAGCACTGATAACATTGTTGGGTTTCTTTCATGCCCCTCGTAATTAAACATTCTAGAGTGATTTTCTGTCATTTCAGATTGCAGCTCTTATAGCATTCCTCACTCTCAGAAAACACAAATTTGGAAAATATTTTCCAATAGCAATACTTTTAATGGGAGTACTAACTCCAGCAGTAACAGGTATTGTAAGTAGTGCGGCCATAGCCTTTGTCTACAGGGCTTCAAGTTATCCAATGAATCCCCTGTATGCGCTGTTTTGGGGCTGCGGCCAAACCTTTATCATGGGCTGTATGGGCTTTACACGAATACTAGCCACTTTATAATTTTAAATAAATTGTAAACTCACCTGTTGGGTTTTGATATTCCCAGAAAAGAAGCTCGTGTGATGATTTGCCTGAGATAATAATCTGGTGGTTGTTAGAGGAAATTTTTCAATTTTCCCGTTACTAGGATCTCAACGAGTTCTAGTAACAGCCAATTTTGTTTTCCTATTGTTAAGCTGGAAAGTGTCGTTCTTGCCAATGATTGAACTAATAATTATGACAATTTCTGCATATTGGAAAGAACCCAATGTTGAAACTCCAATTTTTATTTCTACCCTATATAAGCAAGAACCATTTTTATCTATTTTATGGAAACGCTTCAAGCCTAAGATATATAGCGTTGCTAAGTTGCTGCCAAACGGTCCATATCATGCAGTAGTTTGTATTAGTATTTAGAGCGTTTGCGATAAAAGACACAGTTAATTAAAATTTAGTCAACTGTTTAGAAAAAGGTTTCGATACGTTAATTCGTATTTCAATTGCGTATGTTTGGTTCAATTGCATTCAACTGAACAGTGCGATACTGCGTGAACTTTTCTTTCTTAAATAAAATTCCTTGTACACGATTCATTTGATCTTTATAGCTATTCCGGTTTTATTAGACGAAATAACTTATAGCCCGCACAACTCCTTATTTTTATTTTCTGTTTGAGTTTTCTAAAAAAATGAATGGGTTGCTTTTGAATCATACAAGCTTTAGTGCTTGATGAAACCTTTGGAGTTTTTGAAGGTGTTTACTTATTGCTATTAAAATTTTCCTTTGGCAAATCATTCTTTTTCATCTATTTCATTGTGAGCATCGACTTTTCCCTCTTTTTCTTATTGTGTATCGTTGTTTATTATTTACCGAATGTTTAGTCCGGTGTTAAGTTTAGTGGTGGTTCTCTAGCTGTGGTTTCAGTAAAGGTTTCTAAAATACAAATAATTTCTTTTGTAAATCAGTGGTCGATCTTGAAAATTACTTAAAAATAAATTTTTATTTTATTTTTCAAAATCGGTTAATTATATAAGTACTTCTTTCCCTGTTTTTAATTCCTCTAGAAGGTTTTTCAAGGTAGCAAATTCAAGCAGTAGTAAAGCTCCTTAAAGCTACATTTCCTTTAAAAATGTTCTTCACTCCTGTAATTTCTTCGCATTTTTAACAGTTGTCGCAGAAAAAAACTGAAGCCTCTAATAAGTTGTTGTTTTGTTTTGAATGCTAGTGAGATATTTTGACCAATTTGCTGCTCTGGTTTATGCTCGACTTTTGAAGATTGATTGTTTCCGTAACGCAATTACAAATCATAACAGTTTATTAGAAAGAGTTAACAAAAAACTTAAAAATAATTTTCTAAACACTCTGTATAATAAGACAATTCAGATTACAGAAAAGGAAAGTTTATTATTATTATAAGGAAGGATAAATTTTTCCCATCGAATTGATTTACCGCAAATTAGGGAAAAGTTGCATGCATTTTATCTTTCTTCAGTGATTCTTCTCTTGTCTATTTGCTTAATATTTTTTAATTAATTCGCAGCAATTAAGCCCTATAAAAAATGTAATGGTGATCTGTCCGCTAATATTTGCAGCGATTCAAAAGGACCGCTCAACGTAATCCATTTATTAAAAGTATTTCTTTCAAGAAATGGTTTGAAAAGAGTTTGAATAGTCTAGTTAGTATAACAAAAATCCAATATTTTTTGTTTAAAGTTTCCTCAGAAAAGATAGTCCAAGAGTTACATTTCCGACAATACAGACTCGCACATTAATATTTCATTCATTTATGTATGAACTCAACTTTGTACTTCAGACAACCGTGTTTGGTTCTCCTTTTGATAAACCCTTTAATAACAATTAAAATGATTTACCACAAAAGACCAAACACGGTTGTCTGAATAACTAAAATCTAAATTTCTTAACAGTCTATAAGATAATACGACAGCTTATAAATAACGTTAGGAGCAATTAAAAACATGAACATTTTAACGCGAGATGATGTTCAAAGGGAATTTGTAAATCAAAATTCAATAAAAACATCGTTCATTATATGAAAGAATATATACAAAACCCAAAAAAGGCACTACATGCAGAATATTCCATACATCCATAGCGGGCGTAATTTGAGGATAGGAAATAAATTAAATAGTGAATTGTTTAGCGAAAAATAGAAAGGTTTTGTTATCAAGTTTCTCTACGAATTTTCTTTTCTAAGTTACAGGGTGTTTATTTTTTAAAAGCTTTCTATCGCTAGATTATCTCATTCTCCCAAAAAGGTCGGAAATCTCTTGAAACTGCTGTGGCATTTTTTGGATTCTGTCAGTTAATTCTCGCTCTTGGACGTTTACTTTCAAACCCCGTAACTTGCGTTACTTAAAATGGGAGCTTTAGAGAAAAAATTGTTTGCATTGCCTCATTTATTCCCTACATACATTTACACATACACATAAGAATTCATAAATAAACACATTTGTTCGTTCATAACTTAAAGTCATTAATTCTAAAGTTGGCAAATGAAAATTCTAATATTAATGGAAATGGGTTTAATCATATTTGATATCAAATAATATTAAAAATATTTGATATCCATATGTAGAAATAAAAATAGTCCCAATTATGCAACGTATGCAAAGTATGCAACAAAGCATGTGTAAATGATTTTATACAAGTTAGAATATAAATTAATTTACCAAATACATGTATTGAATGACTGATACAACATATTTTTTCATGTACATTTGTTAATTGATTCTGTTATATATCGCTGTTGTTTTGTAATCTTATCACACACTCAGACATACCAGTTTGAGTCCGATATTCCAATCCGATATACTACCCGAATTCGACGTGCGTGAGAAAAGTGAATAAACTATTTAAAAACCAAATAATTAAAATATAAGACGTTTGAGACCCTCAATAAAAACCATTGCATTCAAAGCTTGGACTGTGTGCTGGAATTATTGAGTAACTCGTAAGTATTTTTTGCTAACACGTGTTATGTGGAGGTTAACTTATCACTTCAGATGTGTGGTTTATAATTTATTTGAAATGTTGCGTTCTCATTTCTGCTATAAAGTTTAAATCGAATTTCGAATCAAACACCAAAGAAATTTGTTTCTAGATTTCATCTTGCGATGATTACGCATGTAATTTTGGCTTTTGGCCAACTGTAATGAATTCTTTTCAATCGAATAACTTAAAAAAATTAATATTTGTTCCAGAAAGCAAACATGAATTGCACTTTAAAGATAATTAAATAAGAATTTTAAGACGCGCAAACATGCGTTTACTATTGTGCTGTATTCAGACGTCCTGAATAAATTATTTAATTTACAAAATATGCGCATTTAGAGGCACTAATTAACTCGCTCGCTCATTAAACTGAGACTAAAGACTAAATTTAAAATAAATTGTGTTCTAATCGTGAATGTACAATTGAAAGTAGCCATCTGAATTTTCCATCCACGTTTTAGTGGATTAAACTGATATACACACAACATATTGTAGTAATATTATCGATGGATTACCATTTTGTACCCAGTATCTTCTAAGGAACCTTTTAAAGCTGTTTCGGTTTACTTAAAGGAAAACGATTTTATATGAATAATCGTTTGTAGAATTGTATAGAAAACTGTTGCTTTTTCACGGGACAAGAACAAAAACTATGTAGGTAAAATGTGATAAAATCCCCTTTGCTGAACGCTAGGACAATATTTTTATGTGGAAGAGTTCAAATTGGGTTCTTACCTTTTTAATTGTTAATTAATTTCATTTTGTTGCGACATAATTACACAGTGAAACAGGAAGCATGTTGAACCTGTATGAAATCTGGGCAATAAGTTCTAATCGTAATTTTAACCACTGATGCTGAGGTTGTTTTGTACATTGTCTGCAAAGCTCTAATGTGGAAAATGTGCGTTTTATAACGAAAAGTGATTTTTACGTCTGATTAGTTTGTAAAGGTGAATCCACCTGGACATTTATTTAATTCTTAGGTAACCAACCATTTCGCCCCTTGGTCTCGATGTTTTATATTAATTGATGAATTATCTAGGGTTTTTGAAAAATTTGGTGAATTTTATCTATCATGTTTCTTAAAATATCTCTAAATTATAGGAAATTATATAAATTTGTTCGTTTATTTTTCTCCACTTTTTATAAGGTGCACTATGACTGTAGGTAGGTAAGTGGATACTACAAATGGGCTATAGAGGTAATTTTTTTATCAATGTGATGGTGCTAAAAGCATATACTATAGTCTAAGCAGCAGATAGAATAGAGTATATTTCAATCTATTCAATTCCTAATTTATTTGTAAAATATTTATGTAATTTATGTATAAAAAATCACTTGTAGTATAGCCAAATAATGTAAATAATGCACTGTACAAATGCTAGTCCTGTAACAAATGGTATCTAATGCCTGAGTCAATAATTATTATGAAATCATTTTTCTTGGGATTCTTTGAAATAAAACCGTCTTTTATATATTTTTTTGAGTTTTTGTGCTCCCAATCAGCTATTTATCAAGGATTTTTTATAACATCAGGATTGTTCTAGATCTGCGTTTTCAGCCCAAAACGAGAAATATAATTCATTGATAAATTGATAAACTTAAGCAAAGGCATCGATAATTTCGTATTTATAATTTTTTCATTCTAAAGTTTTCAAATGTATATGCAATATTAGTGAAAATGATTTAGTGTTTTTTATTTTACCTTCTAATGAACGAAATCATACGGAACCATAGTAATTGTGTAAATCATAAATAAATCTGCATAAAATTTCCATTGAACCATAATCAATGATTTATTTAATCATAATGCGAATTATGCCTACAGACGAATTCTATTTTAATACTAAATTTAAATAATTTTAAAAAAGCTGAAAGATATCACTTACAATATATGAAAATTTAAATTAAAAAAATGTTAGAAGGCTTTTTAGTTGTCAATTCTGCAAGCAATTTACTCTACAGAGTCGCAATGGAATGCTGTAGATTCCAGATTCCCCATGAAAAAAAGAAACATTTTTTCTATCTGTGCTTTCGTTTTTAAGATACAGGGTGTCACGTATTTAATAAATGCAAATGTAGATGTATTTTGGGATATTGCCATTACTGGCATACTATTCAACATATTGTTTTTTTTCTCAAAAAAGCCACACCGTAAAAACAAACAGTGAAAATCGTAAATAACAGTTGTAAAAATAATTGAGAAACCATCGCAGGTTATTCTTTTGACTGGATGAGGGTCTAAAAGAAAACGACATCCTGTAACATAAGTACATTTTATTTTTTAAACTTTTTATAACATTTTCTCATATGCACTCTAATCGTAAACTTTAAATACGCCACAAAACAGAGAATATCTACTTACAACTAAATATTCACACACCCTTTTTTTCAATTTTTTTGCATCACTTTTGTCAGATAAGTTCTAAATTATTATATGTAATTATACCATGTTTCACTCTACATTTTACCTTCACACAATATTAAAACTTTTAGAATCTAACATATATACGTGCATCCTACATGTTTACTCATACATAGCGTACACATGTAAAGTTTTCAAGCAACGATTCATACGGATTTTATCAGTTTCCTAAGATATTCTAGACATAGTCTCGAACGCAGCGTATAAAATCAGTATTTTTCAGTGATGTGGACATGCTAAAAATTATTAGTAAATCAGCTTAATGATTCCTAGTACGTCCTAATTCTGCTTTTTCGTGTTGAATTCAAGAACAAACACTTCATTTCTGCTGACAACAAATCAAGCGTTTGTTTTTGCCGAATCTGTAGGTATTAAACAACCTTATTTGGGAAATGCTAATAGAGCTTAGTGCAGTTTTTTGCAGAAAACATTTGTTAAAGATAATATGTTTAAAATTCACAATTACATTTTATGAGAGCCTACATTTATCACTTACGTGTAGAAGTTGTTAATTATTGTAAGGTACCTTAATTAACAGAAACTTATCAAATACTTATAGCAAAACGATGCACCTCTAGCAGCAGAGCTAATATGTTTTGTTGGAAATATTTCAAAAGGCAAATAGATCCTTCAAACATACAGTATATATATGAAAAGTTCTGTCTCTGGAACTTTTTTATGCATTTACACTCGCCCTTGATATTTGTTTTTTTTGTACTTTTATTTCTGTGGATGGCGGATTAACAAATCGAATTCCTAAGAAAAAAGTAATTTGATGACAATAATTTTAACAATGAATTAGAGCCAGAAGTTAATTATTTTTTCATTATTACATATTGTCAGCATGAGATGAGACAAAGTGCCCTTGACTAAATTGGTTGCCACAATTAACTATCTAATGAAGATAAATAAAATAAATATGTCATAAATAATAAATTTTGAAACAATGCAATAATGGCAACGGCTATGTTATATTACAGTGTTCTTAATACTTGGATTAAAGTGTATTCTATTTAAAAATGTCTTTTGGAGTTCAGGCTAGAAAAATAGTTTTTATCACAGATTGCTCTGATGATTTCCCTTTTTATCTAAATGATTTTACTGCTAATTTGGTTTATAAAATTTACACTTAGATATATATTTCGTTAGTGAATCTTACATATTTATAAGCTATTATTATGTAAAAGACATTTTCAAATAGTCTCGGTTTTTACAAAAATAAATCATAAATTCTGCAGTAATTAGTTGTAGTACTACACTAGTTTTTTAATATTTACAAAAAGTTCGCAACACATTATTTTACAATTATGTACAGGTTTAAATTAAATTGAACTGACCAAATTTCATATTCAATGCCCAGTTTGAAAAATAAAAATGAAAATTTTAATTTTCGCAGAGAATTTGTACATTTTAAATAAGATACATTCTTAAACTTATTGAATACTAAAACGTTTTTTTTTTCGAATGGCCGTGATTTTCCCCGTAATTAGAAGCCGATAAGAAAACCGAATTAATATAATAAACTGGATTTTTAATTATTTAAATATACAAATGGTTTTATTTGGCGCTAAGTAGCCACAACAAGCAAAATCGTATTTTGCTTATTGGGGCCTAGTGCTTGCTCCTTTTCTCATATCGTGATATATCAAGTAATAAACCATGTCCGCAACATTCTAATATTATACACTCATGAAGTAAAGCATGCAATTTTTATATTCATTTAATGAACACACTACGGTGCTTTAAATAATTTTGTAGAATTGCGCCTTATTGTACAACCAGACCTTACGTTCTAAAGTTCGCTCCCGATTTTCCATTAAGACAATTTTGACGTAGGGTTTTTTAATTTATATTCCCATACGTCAAAACAACATATTGTATGCTAGAATATATGACAAAAATCTGGAAGGAACTATCATGATATAGATTTGAAATAATATGCCTACTGAACACATATCAATTTTATTACAATTTAGGGCAAGTTGTAGTGGTGGTAAAGGATAATTGCTAAGCTCAGAAAATATTTTTTTAATTAAGCATTTGATAGCTAAGTGGGTACAACATAGTAGTTTCGTGTAACTGATAATTTAGACCAATGCAAATCAAATCAACTATCAAGTTCAGATCGATTTCTAAACGCAAAATAGCAGATTGCTAAATGAACTTTTCGCATAAATAGGTAAAAAGCAGATCAGACATTTCTCAATAAATTTTTTTCTAGATACAAAGTGTATACATTGCCAGCTTATTAACAGAATTAGAGTGAATCTGGTGATGATGATTGGCTGGGTTTCCCACTAAGAACCCTTTCTTTCGTGGTTAAACGAAAAAATCAAGCCGGGACGATCTAAGTCAAGTATGGAATTAAGATTCTTTTGTCTTTCTTATATATTCTTTGTATGTTTCCGCGCACTATGATGAATGATCATTAATCATAATACGGTTAAATGAAATAAATACTAACGTGAAATAGATTATTTGTCCTAACCGAATTAGAGAGGTAATGTCGTGGTGATGGTTGACTCGATTTGCCGGTAAAAATATTTACAAGCTGCGATGAAGGCAGTTTCCACGCACTAAGCTAAAGTATTTTTCTTACAAAGCATAGAAGTGATCTTTTCTTATTAAAGTGAAATAGATGATTTGTTCTATTCCCCGATAAAACGCATAAATTGAACACAGAAAAAATTTGGATGTTTGAATTAAGCTTGTATTTTTTGTGATTATTATCAGTTTATCCGAAGGAACAGAGTGTTGAAAATCCTCAGACTTCAAACTTATTTTAGCAGGTACGTTTTTTTTATTGGAATCAACACGTTCCTTTTTATGGCTTCTAAGCTTAGCCACTAACTGATTCTAAATTGAACGTTGCGGATCATTTTTTGCAGCGGTGAAGTTCCTAATCCCTCGTCAGCTCGTCATTGTGCGTTAAAAAAAATATTTTAAATACTAGTTAAGAAATGGAACTTCAATATTGCAGAAAACAGTATTTTGATAGAGTTATTTCCTTGCCTTAAATTACATACATTAATTTACATACCTACGGAGAAAAGCTATATTCTATTGTTTGCCTTTCTTCAGCGGGTTTAGTTGAGATCAAAATATTGTAAGTGCCTTAACATTTGCGGTTATTGCTAGCATGTGAACGGTTCGAACCTTGGCTGCGTTCCTTGCGTCGTGGATTGTAGTTATGACCGTTCACTTCACGAGCCTTGTTTGCACGCTTCAAGTATCCACGTGTTAATTGTTTGGCCACCTTCTTCGTTTGGATCTAAAACTCTTAAAGTTAGAATTTTGCTTCCGAGGCAAACCTTCACCTTCTACCTTTTGCGCCTGGCGATGCTTCAGCAGTTGGACCTCGTGGATTCCGCTAACAAGCACTGTAGGTCTAGCGCGACGTGCAGGAGAATGAGGACGACAGTAAACCACCATCGATCCCTCCGCAACAGTACTGTCCTCCATCACTTCCTCTTCAACCACAATTGCTCCTTCGGATGCGTTAGATCGAGCAGGGGAATGCAGATGGGGATGACGGCTACCAGTACGTTGATACACGCTCATCGATGGATGCTCGATTAGGAGATTTTCAAGCGGCGATGTTCGCAACTGAACAGGACCTATTTGTATAGAAAAACTCTTGTTGTAATTTTGTGGTGACCGTGATATTAATGGGTAAAATATGTTCTTTCGTACTTAACACAGAGAATCTCAGAACATAAACGGAACTCAACAAAAAATTGTTAAAAAGACTGTTAAGCGAATCCATCATCAAAATTAATAATTCTAGAAATTTTAGAAGGGACACTGAAAATTCACCTGCTAGAAATTAACAAATAATCAACATAGAAGCAATTTTTTGCGAAATGAATTATTATTGCTTTATCAGCCTTTAGTTTCGCCCCACTTGCAGGACGAATAAACTCAATTTCTGAGCTTTCCTTCGTTATTTGAACACATAATTTTTTCACGTGTTCTGATCAAGTTCAGCTCACAACATCAATATGATAGTAGCAAGAGCGTTTCCTTTTAAAATTACAGCTGGGCTTGAAAGAAGGTAAGGATGTAGATTTTCTTCAAAAAGTCCGAGGTGAAGGAAAATTTGCGCTAAACCTTTGAGTGCTTTTCCGCGCTTTCTGTTATAGTGCTTGTTTCTATAAAATTCAAAACGGTTTTAATCGTTTTATCAGACTATGAAGGCTTTCACGGCCGGTTAAATCACATTTAGGAATGTTTTCCGGGCTTCATTCAAAAGCCCGGAAAACATTCCTAAATGTGGTTTTAATCGTTGTTTAACTTTACTTTCATCGGCCATTAATGCCTTTTCCGAAGAAAAATTTGCAAATAATAGTTTATTGTTTATTTAGTTTTGGCAAGTTCTTCGGAAAAAGTAGCAATGGCCGCAGAAAGTAAAAATTTTGCGTTTTATAGAAACCACCACTATCACCAAGCGCGGAAAAACAATTTGAAGGTTTAACGCAAAATTGTCTTCATCTCGAATTTAAACGAAAATGTTTAAGAAAAGCTACATCTTTACCGTTTATCATATTTTTTTTGAAGCTGAAGTCTTAAGAAACGACTAAGACCATTTTCTGTTTAATAGCAACATACCCTACCCTTAAGCGCGGAGAAACCATTAACGCAAATTTTCCTTGGTCTTGAAATTTTTGAAGAAAAGCTACATCTTTACCTTCTATCAAAATTTTTTGATTCTGAAGTCAATTAAGAAACGATTCAGACCATTTTCGATTTTATCCAAACATGAACTACCCTTAAGCGCGGAAAAACCGTTTGAAGGTTTCACGCAAATTTTCCTTGATATCAAACTTTAACGAAATGTTTGAAGAAAAGTTACATATTTAGCTTACATAAGATTTTTTTAATCTAAAGTCAATACTCCTAAGAATCGCTTAAGACCATTTTCTGTTTAATGGAAACAGGCACTCCTCTAAAGCGCGAAGCAACCATTTGAAGGTTTGTCGCAAATTTTCCTTTCCCAAACTTGTAAGAAATTTTTGAAAAAAAGCGACATCTTAACTATTAGATTTTTCTGAACCCGAAGTCAATACTCTTAAGAAACGACTTGGACCGTTTCGCTTTTGATAGAAACAAGCACTAACACCAAGCGCTGAAAACCACTAGAAAGTTTAACGCAATTTTCCTTGATCTCTAACTTTAACGATTTTTTTTTAAGAAAAGCTACATCTATACCTTGCCCCAGATTTTTTTGCAGCTGAAGTCATTCCTCTATTAGGAGGATTATGTGCCCGATTTAGACTCGCCCTCAAGGAAAGAAAACTTTATGCATATTGTACATTTAAAATTATGAATCACCCTGTTTTACTTGCATAGATCAATTTACGCCTGCTGATTAAGGTCATATTTTAAATAATTAATTAAAATTTCACACATTTTAGCATAAATTCATTTGACTCTGGTATGAAGCTCGAAGATTGAGTTTGTCCTTAATTCCTTTATGGAAAAATGCATTCTGAGCATTTTTTGAACCTTACGAACATAATTAGTCGATTCTTTGTACCTGTTTGAGAACTAAAACAGGGCGGCGGGGTCACGAACCAGCTTTCTTCCATAGCGTGAACGTGAACGAGCGAGTCGACTGAACTCGCACGTCCGAGTCGCACAACGTCCATCCCACTGTCGCTATCGTCCTCAGATGCCGAATCGTGCGAGGAATCATCCGAGTTGCCCTCCGAGTCGCGATCAACCATCGTCCATCCATCGTCATAATCAGTCGTACGCAGTGCCACCTTTAAAAAACGTTATTTATTAGAGCTTGTCTGGAATAGTTGTAGAGGCCTAGTACTTACCCTATTGTCACTGTCGCTGTTAAGGGCCCCTCCAGCTTGGCCTGGATTAGTTGTAGTGCCGCCTAGAAGGTAACTTGCCAAATTTTGGAGCATTGTCTGCAAAAGAAACAGTCTGATAAATACTTATTATAAACACTTTTTAATTACACATTAGCCCTGTCCAGTTGTCGCAATTAATTCTATTCTAAGCGCGCTTTGTTCAAGGATCATTATCAACGCAGAAACTAGCAATAAAATGATTGTATTCAAAGAATTGAAAAAATATTGATCTTGACACAATTTCCCAACAAAGCAATCAACTATTGATGAATAACTACTGAGAAATATGCATTTCCCACCTTTTAATGGAAAATTTAAGTTGCTATGCCCATTATATGCGAGATACAGAGCGCGCTAGTGTTCTACCAACATTAATTTAAAATGCAGTCAATTGTTTTTTATTGAAAAGTGCTTGGTTTTTTTAACTCGCATTTCCAACAGTCATTTAATTCGCGGCACTTGCGAGATAATATGCAAAAATATTTAAATAGATTCTAGTAGGTGTTCTTAAAGCTGGACTTGAATAAAATCAGTTTGATATTAGATGCGTTTGAAGAGGCTATATGGAAATGAGCTTCACATTAATTGGACAAAAATATTAAATGTGAAATCAGCTGTATGATAAAAGCCCTGGTAAATTTCAATTGATTGCTAGCTAGCGGCTTTAGACATTAACCTACTGACCAATTTAAATAAATGGACGTTGATTAGCAGCTTTCCGGCGCAATAAGTTCTAAAGCAGATCCAGCTTGTAGTGCAATGAATATCTAACGGCAGGCACTTGAGTTTTTTATTGTTCTTAGTGTGTAGCAAAGTGCATCGAGATGATTGTTGATTGAAACATAGATTAATAATATAAAAGCCGCACACTCGCATGGAAAAACTATTGCATTCCAACAAAGAGTTTACATATTTTAATATCTTCACAATGAACAGGTTATTGTGCGTAATGAGGACACCCAAATATATTATTATGGTGCATGAATAGTGATTAGTCGAAATGCAAAGTGTGAACCGACAGTCGTTTAGGCAGAACTGCTTTTTTACAGGTTCCAAGGTTCGTTCTGCTCATTGTTATGTTCGACGTGAGTCAACTGCGACTATTTCAAACACTATGAGTTAGGCACTGTTTCATTTGCTAATTGCTGATGATTTTTTAACTTATTACATAGTTTGGCAAGAAAATGGCATTTCCATTTAAATGAGACGCGGATATTGGCACTTATCAGCTAAATCTAGAAATAAGGTTTCAATTAAATGTAATTTCGCACTCAGTTATATGGGTAACAACGCAATTTCCTAGAGTAGAAAGTCACGGAACAATGTCAAGTACAGGAAGAAATTAAACTGCCGCTCTAACTAATTTTATGCGACCAGTGCTCTGTAATGTTTCCATTAACACTCAATTAGTTCCATCCCATACGGTTAATAGTGTCCGCAAAATACACGTCCATCAACCAGAGTAATTTCGCAAAAGTAATAAGCCTTTCTTCCTAGTACATGTTTTTTTTTAGTATACAGCACTTTTTCTAGTATACCTAGAGATTATTTTTTTCTACCACCAGATATTTATTGAAAATTAATAATTTACTTTATTTTTAGTTATTAAGGTTTCAGAAGTTTGTGTGTGCTACTTTTTTGGATTTCTATCATTTTTTAGGACAAACGACTTTTGCTTGTGCATCTTCAAAAAAAAGGTTAATTGCGTTACTGCAGAGACAATAAAAATAAATAATCCTCAACTTTGAAAAACATTTACACCAAATAAATTAAACATTTATAGCAGACGTTAGAGAAAATATAGAGGGTGGTCCAAAATAACTCTCAACGAAAAACTGTAGATCCCTCATTAAAAAAACACTTTGTTTTCCTCCATATTTCTCTCCGTGCTTTTGATTTCTAGTGCCAAAAATTTAATTTATTTTTATTTTTCTACCAATGTTTGCATTCAATCGAATTCAACTCGAATTCAATAGTGGAGATTATAAGGTATCGCATGAGTTTTTTCCCCTAATTTATACAACACTGGAAAAACTAGCATTCCGACGGCAAATGCTGTTGCGCCAATGAATTTTGCACAAAACGAGACCTCAAGGTTTATTGCTTTACAGTTAAAGGTTTTCGAGAAAAAAAATGGCTTTTTACGGACAAATTCAAACTTTTTGCTAACGATACCTTAGTCTCCACCACTCGTTCAAGAAATTCGAGTGGATTTCGAAAAAAAAGCTATTAAGAGTTGTAATGTGTGTACAACAGTTCAATCATGTAGCTAAACAGATTAGTAAAAAAACTGAAAATAGTTTTTTTTAAAGAACAAATTTTTGACACCTTGTAGCTCGACAACGAAAGCACGGCGAGAAAACAACTGGCGGGAAAAAACTTAATAAAATAAAGAAACGAAACTTATTTAAGACCAGGATATTTTGTTTGTACTGTTGCTGTTCGTTGTGCCGTTAGTTTTTCGAAATTATTGACATTTATTCAATATTCCTTATTAAATGCAGATGTTTAAAAGCGAATATAATTTTACATTCTGAAATATAATATTTAATCGACATTCTTACGAAACAATAAAGTTTTTGAAAATTACTTGGGTGCTACACCAACTTTAAAAGTTCAAAATGCGTATGTAAAAATACTTAATTAAAAAATAATAATAAATGCTAAGAAATGGTACTTTTCCTGAAATGGATAGAAACATGCTTTAATATGTATTCAAGTTCTTGAACTAAATAACCTTATTATACCAGAAATGCTTGCTATTTCAATGAAAAATGTTCTAATTGTCCAGATTTTATGCACAACTGAAGATTTCTTTGGAAACAAAATATTCTGCAATTTTTTTCTTCATTCATCTGTTTTTAGTTACGACCAAATTAAATAAAGTATAATTTATTGACTCTTGTTCATGATAGATTGTACAAAAATAAATTGCACAAAATTTGCTCACATTTTTAAAAATCAATTGAGGAACTTGTTTTTTTTCAATTTTCTTCAAACGTGAGCTTCTTAAAGAGAAACATCCATCTAAAATTGACAGATTTTTTATTTCCAGAATGTTTTCCACAAAAACTCAAAAGACAATTGGTTGGCAACTAATCGAAGAAACCTAAAAAAAAACTGTTTTCTTATGCCCACTCAAGCGACTCTCCAAGCAATCGATTTAAAATTTTGACGGTTCATCAAAAATATTGCAAATGTGAGAATTTGCCTGTTTTTAAAGTTATGATCAGATGCGGTTAAGACAAAAGTAAATTATTACTTGAAAACATCTTTTTCTTCCACACTTGGTCCAAAAATCCACTAGATTTAATGTTAAATTTTTTGCATGCTTCTTAATTCCAAACACTCTTCAGCACGACAATTCCAGTGAATATCTTAAAAATCGAATTTAAGTACCGGAAAATAGGCGCAATTTGGAAAGTTATTTTATACCAGGCTTTTTTTCGGCTAACCTGTAATTTAAAATTAATAACCATTCGTTTTTATAGGCTCTACAAAATAGACCGCTAACTTATGCTACATAAAATAAAAAGTAGCAACATTGCTGATGAATAAACTATACCAATATAAAAACATCGTAATAAAAATATATTTATATCAACATATTATTCCATTGGCTTACTTTGAGAGAAATCAGAAAGCAGATTTTATCAATAAGACGCATGCATTGTTTGTGTGAAAATTATCACAAACATTTTTAATTACATTGATCGGTGCGGACTTAACCTTTTTTTCATAAAGCATTTTTTTTTTCAAATAATAGAAGCCCGCATGTGTATCCGATAAAATAGAGCTCGTTTGGAACAATGTCTCTAAATTACTTGGGTTGTACACATTAACGTAATTATAAAGTAATTTGTACGGTTTTATCAACATAATTTTTGATTCACTTAAACTCGTATTAGCGTTTCGAAAGTAGTCACGAGATTAGCGTATTTCGAAAGCAAAGGTTTTCGTCAAAACTTCCTAAAATTCATAAAATAATAAGTAAAGCTGATAAAAAAACAGTATTTGAAGATCGTCATATGACTGAAAAGACCCTTAATTTCAATGTTTGCTTCCTTTAAAACATGTAGACTCAAGCCAAAACACGCTACCAACTTTCAAATAAATATCTAAACAAATGTTAAAATTTTTTATTGGGCAAATTTAATGCGAACTTTAGATACTGAAAAAATGGGCGCCCAATTTGAATTTCATATTAGCTTTGGACGATGAATATGTTCTACGAATTGGCCTCTTTTTCCGTACGTGGAGATAAAAAACCATTAATTTTTATAGTCTGAACAGCTTTAACGGTTTTAAAAAATGTTTGAGGCGGATTTATGTTTTCAAAACCTTTTCGTTGGCTTTTTCGCCTGAAAGTTTTGTATGTTTTCGAAATGCACAAAACTTTGAGGCAAAATACTCAAATGTATACATATATTATGAATACATATGAAAAGGCAGAATTAAATGAAAAAAAATAAGAGCACTATAAATTCGTAATAAGATACAGGGAATTTTTTGTTTAAAATTAAGTTTCATATGGCAATTTAATCCCGACTCACCCTGCATTAAATAAAACAATATACTCCTGATTAATGAACTTAAATACCACTTTGAATGAACCCAGCAGATTCAATCATGCTTCTATTAAGTGTTCGAGTTATCACTAACGGTATTAATCATTACGGAATCAACATCTTCTTAAGTGTCGTATTTGTTTTAAAAATTCACTACTAATCTGACAATTTAAAAAAAGTTTATTAACCCCGACTTGTTTTGATAGGACGAACACCGAAATATATTATATTTTGTATACGCCTTGACACAATATTTTTAGATTAAGACGTCAAAGCATTTTTCTGCTGATTTTATGCATCGCATTGCGTCTCCCATTCTGTAATTTATTACACGGGCTGGCCTTGTGTACTTTTTTGCCAAAATATTACAAATATAACTGGAATAACGCAAAGGCGGGCCAAAAGCTCCACGTCAAAATATTGTTTTGAAAAACGTTAGCACATAAGCAGAGACAATAATTTTATCATTTAAGTATTGTATTTATAAAG